ATTTTGGCAAATACTAATTTATAGTGGCAGATAAAAGGAAAAAATTAAAATGTCACATTACTTTTGAGACCACTTGAACATAATGTCTAGGGAATGCATTGAAAGCATTTGGAATAAAGCAGTCATATATCAATTGGATAATAAGCAAATTATTTCAGATGCATAACTTCACAAAATCTAAGATAGATAACATTGAGTGGTTCATCTACTTGTGACAAAAATTAAAATACCAACAATTATATTTGATGAGACATTCCTAAATAACCACACTCTTGGAAAAGCCTCTTTAATATATTTGTGTTAGTAAATACACAGAGATCTTTCTTTAAAAATATTATTCTTTGGAATATTCATTATCTGGCTTCTTCCTGTTTAGAAAGCATGGAAATTGAAGTGAAAGAGATAGGAAATATTTAAACATAAGATACAAATCACTGTATGATAGCAGCTTCTCTTTTCAGAACAATGTCAACTATGAACTTCTTATTTTTATCACAGTGTGATCAAGTAGAGAGATTTTTCATGGCCAAAGTGTTAAATTGACTTGTTGCAGTGTCATCTGCCTAGATAATGAAAAATGTTCCCAAGTCAAGATCTGCACCAATGTTCAAAACAGGTTTAATACAACTGTGCCGTAGCTGTAAGTTATGAGCAATGGTTTTCTTACAAATTTTCATTTATCTTGTGGGAGCATTGCAATATACTCTTTCTTGCCTGTAAAAAGTTAAATGGAATGCCTTCATTTAATTCCAAATACCCTAAATTGGAAAATATTATAAAAAGTATTTTTTTTCAGTGTTTTCATTTATATATTAGATTCTTTGGAAATTTTTCATGTTTTACTAACTGAATTTGTGTGACATTTTCATTTGGAAAACACCTGGTACTCATATTTGTTTCTTGGACTATATATATATATTTATTTTAGAATATTAAGGGGATACAAATGTTTAGGTTACATGTATTACCTTTGTACTGCCTGAGTCAGAGTTATAAGCATGTTCATCCCCCAGACAGTGCACACCACACCCATTAGGTGTGAATATACCATCCCTTCCTCCCCCGTCTCTCCTCCCATCTGCCTAACACCTGATGAATGTTTCTACTATATGTGCACATAAGTGTTTATCCATTACTACCAATTTGATGGTGAGCACACGTGATGCTTATTTTCCCATTCTTGTAAGATTTTTCTTTTGCAACATAGGTGATTTCCTGCCAAAAGTACATATTTAAAGAGAGAAATTAATTTAGTGTAAATTATAGTCATAAAATTATATGAAATTTACAACAGAGAGGTATATTCACATCATGGTTATATAAGGAAAATATTGTGCCCTTGATTGATTCTTTCTGATATCAAAATGCTAGAGTCCTAGATAACACTGGGGAATTTAGTATATAAGAATACACTTTAATTTCAAGGTATAGAATACTTGCATATCACAATTTAATAAAGTAAATGAACTGTCGCCCAAAACATATATAGCAAGAGTTGCCAAGTTACTTTATTCAAATGGTTTGTTATTCAGTATTGTAAACTTCAGAGAATATTTTTTAAATTCCATTTTAAATGCAAATTATTTATAATAATATATTTGTACAATGTATTAGTTTTGGCTGCTTCTCTGTTTCTTAGTTCCACATCTATAGAACAGAAAGCTAAATGTAGCTGCTTCATTAATATGCTATAAAGATAAAAAGATTAAAATAATATTTAAAATAGCTTATACATGTAAACTGCTTAAAACAGATGAGGTATACAATAAGTGTTCAGTAAACGTTTATTGTTCACAGTGTGATTAAGGAGGGAAAGAATACATTTTCAATAAATGTTTGCTAGTTGTGATCACAGTCGTATTTGTAATAGTGCTGGTAGTGGTGGCAGCAGCAGTAGTTGATTCAAAATTATATTTTAAATGGCAGGCATTTCTAAATAATTACTCCTGATAATTAATTATAGTCATAAGTCAGGTTGATACATAGTATTGAAACCACTACAATACTTACACATGTAGCTCTGAAATGTCACTCAATTGTGAAAAGTCACTCCACTGTTGCAGCAATTTAAGAGACCAAAAAAAGGCTTACTTTCTGCACCACAGGTCACTTCCAGAAATAGAGAACACTGAGGATCTTCTAGCCACAACTCATCTATTTACACATGTCTCTCTCTCTCCTACAAGAGGAAAGACCCCAGGAGAGAAAGGACTATATGATTCACGTTTGTATTGCTTATTGTTTCTTGTTGTTTGCCTTGTTTTGTTTTTATCAAATTAAGGAATGGCAGGTGCAGATTGATTGAACTCATGACCTACTCATCTTTCTTTAGCAAAGAATAAGAAAGACACTTTCAACTTCTCCACACTAACCTTGGGGTAGAATGACTTGCCATGGCTAACAGCTCGTTCAACTGTTTCTGCCAAGTTGGCATCCCGCCCCCTCGCATGTTGTTGGGGCATTGTGTCCACCACACTGCAACTTTGCTACCTTACCCCCAAATCCTGCCCACTTTTGAGTTGTAGAAATTTAACTTTCTCTATAGTTCTTTATTTCTTAAGCTCACTTAAGATGCCTCATTTGAGATGAAAAGGTACACGATATAAATGCACAACCTAATACATTATCACTGGAAATCCAGAAGTTGGCATCCTGTGTCATTTCAATTGCCAGTTAATACTCTTTTCCTACTCCCAAAGTAATCATTATCTTGATGATAACATTGTTTTGCATATAATATGTGTACATATCTATATATTAGATAGTATAGAATATATACAACATACATAGTGTAGATGTATATAACTCATATAATACATTTAAAACAGTATGTTTATGTACAGTATACACAAAGTACAAAATATACATACATAATGAAAAGCATCATTATTTAATTAAGCATATTTTATGCACCATATTGAAAAGGAAAGAAAATTATGGGCGAACTATGTAAAATTTAGACATTTTAACAAAGATAGAAAGATGTTTATGCATGCTATAGAATGAAATAGGAAATTTATAAATAGTGAGACACTGCTTTTTTTGCAATTTAAAATTGCCTAGGGAAACCTTGATTAGTGTGTGTTAAAAATGATGGCCCTCAAATCTGAATCAATGGTCAACTAAACTGGTAAATGCTTCCTATTTAAAAATGGAAATAGGGTGTATTCTACAAATTTTTTTAGTGACTTGTTTACATAATCATTCATAATGTATATATGATACATATGTGTATGTATCTTTGTAAGACTGCATAATTATACTCTAAATATAGATTTTTTATATAATCCAATAAATATGATGCCATGGGTTAAATTCACATATAATCCAATAGGTTTTGGTTTGAGGAAATGCAGAAGCAAAGCAAATGTTTTGATGGAAGGAAGTCTGTATATACATTGAGTCTGGTAGCAAGCTAAATAATAGTCATAATTTGCTAGAATGTGACCATTGCAGGGATATATAGTTTATGACATGCAGAGTGGGCTTTACAATTGTGAAAGAAAGAAGTGAATGGACCACATAACTTCAGTCAGAGAAAGGACTCATAGCCAGGACCCCTCTGGGCAGAGATAAAATCGAAGACTCTACTGAGTGTATTTATCAACACGACAACAGGCTTCCCTTGTCCCTCTACAACATTCTCGCTTAAATATATGCTAAACATATTAAATCACATTAAGCTTTTAATTTCCAGGTCAAATAATAAAGTTGAACACTCTGCCCTCATATGGGTGGCACACAGACGACAGTGGCAGTGGGAACAATTTGTCTTCCTTACCAGCTTGTACCTCTTTGATGAAGGCCAAGACTTCAGTCAAAGGCAAGATCAGAACCTGACTGTTTTGACATCTGCACACATGCTCTTCCTTGTTTTTACTTACTTTTCAAACTAAGTTCTTCCAAGAGCTTAAACATTTAGAAAACAAAAACTAGAAAGATTTGCTTCTTTTATGTTTTGCTCTGCCCTAGATATACCCTGAGGAAGAAAAGTATAGGGACAGCTAACTTCTTAAATAAGAAAAGAGAAAATTGATGTTTTTAGGAAGAAAAAATATAATATTAAAATTCCAAAACAGTGTTTATGCTGCAACAGTCATATTTCGTCTTTCCTGAGATGGTACAAACTAGACTATTACACTTTCTGAATCCTATCACCTTTCCCTTAACGCCTGCTACTCGCAAGTTTAGGGTAGTTTCAATAGTCTAATTTTTTGTGTGTGTGCATTAAATTCCACTGTCAGGGATTATATCAAAACTACTTGCCATGCTGAATTGTGACATAATATATTTTTGATATCCCCTATATTTGATTCAGTACTTTTTCTCATGCCCAAGAATATCTAAGCAGAGTTAAATTCAGAGGCAGAGCAATAAGTCCTCTTCTTCATTACTGCAGTTAGCATGAAAGGCTCAGTATTTTATTTCTATTGGTCTCCTCCAAATATAGACGGGTGGTGGGTTGGAGGCAGGAGACTCATTCTCATCGTCTCAATGAGTTTACGATGCTTGGTTTGTTTTGCTGTTTTGATTTTGAAAATTGGAAGCAGAGTCTGTCCCACTTTCAATGCCATCTTGACATTTGGAATCTCTTTGACTCCAGCGGGATTATTTAATTATTGTATGTCATGTCCCTGCCAGGAATAATAAAGGTCACTTACCAAAAATCCAATTAAAATTTCAACTTTATGTTAATAATCTGTTACAAAGAAATCCCAACATTTTCAGAAGTGACTTTTCTCGAGTCAGGTAGCGCAGCAACCAGATAATTAACAAGCAGGAAATACAATTTCTATTAATGAGACCGTATTTCCCTTTTGTCTCCCTGGCCTCTTCCCCACGACACCTCACCTAATTGTGCCCCCATTGTGAGCCAAAAGAGAAAATGAATTAAAACTAAGAAAGAAGAGGAGATGACTTTTTTATTCTCTCAAAAAAAAAGAAAAAACTGAGAATTCCTTTTAGAATTTAGAATGAGCATACTATTCCCATTCTATTTCCTCCCATGGAGGCTACCGCTAGAAAAGGCATCAGACCTACTGGTAAGTATTTATAAAGCACCCATCTCATTTAAATGCCTAAATGAAAGAGTAAAAGAATGTAACAGTAATTTTTAAGGAAAATTTTTGAGAAATGGGTGACTTCTGCAGCTGTTGTTTTAGTAAAAGTCACACTCATATACATCTTTGAAGGAAGATATGAAATAGTGTATTACCTAAAGGAAGAAAATAAATACAGTGTTATAGCGTTATACTTCCTTAACAAAAATGAAGATTAAAAAGTAGAAAGTTTCTTTTGTTAATTTACAAAGGATAAAGGACTTTATTCTATATCTTGATTAAGAGGATCAGACATTTATATATTTTTGAATAAATAATTTCTTCACAGTTATTTCTTCATCTGTAAAGTTCCAGTAACAGTTTTGTCCTATTCTTTAAATTTTCTAGGTGACATTAGTGCAAAACTGTTGGTTTTAGATCATTTATATTTCAGGTATATTACTTCAAACACTATCCACTAAAGAAGAAAGTCCTTATTCATTGTCAAGGCAATTTTAAAGGGGAAAAAAACCATTGGAGCTTTTTCAGTGAGTCTGTTCACATCTTTAGACTTAGTCTAGGAGTACTGACAGTCAGACTCAGAAATCTGTGGCAGTAAGATAGTAGTCACATTGCTCTGGAAGACAGTGCTCATTTGACTATCAGCAAAACAATGACCAAAGTGCATCCTTATTAAACCATGTTTTCCAAAGTTATTGTAGTGAATAGGCAGGAATTTCAAGGTGTTGTTATTTCATCTATGATTTTTGAAAAGATTTCTCAACTTCCTTCGGTCATCTCTGAAGATTCAAAAACTCCATGTTTTTGTCCATGCAAAAATGAGAAGCTGTTGCTACACTTAGTAACCAACATTTCTTTGCTCATTCAGAAGAAAAAAATACTACAAAGAGGTTCCTGTTTATAAATATAAATTTATTTTGTTTTTAATCTATAATTTGGATACCTCAGGAAATATTTTAGATGATTCACAAAACACACACACACAGAACTCTGATAACAAATAAAGTAATAAGACCTGAATAATGAATGAGAGTGGAGAGGAGCACATATGAGCTGAAAATTAGGCTAAATGATAAATATAACCACTGAAATTTAATTAAATCCTAGATTTTTACTTTCTGTCAACAAATTAAAAGTAGAAATACAGTGAATAATTGGCTCTAATAGTTTAAGAAGTGTAAGAAGTGAAAGTCTGTTTTATAGGAGGAATGCTCCTAAAAATGTTCCAAACAAACTCTAAGAATAATTTTGTTGTAACTTTTTATATAAGTGATATTTAAAAGTGTTGAATAAGGTCTTCAAGATTAGTTTTACAAAATCTACAGAAAGATTCTCCCAATGAACATTTTTTAATATCTACCATTGATATACTCTGAGTTATAATATCCAAATGAAAACTGTGACATGACATCTTGAATTTCAAATACCCCCCTTCTACAAGGAAGACATGAAATTCAGTCCATTGCAAAATCTGAGCTAAATTAACTGAAATAAAAGAATCAATTCAAATTCAGGTTGATGAAATCATGGTTTTTCCAAACTAGTTGTGGTGAAGCCACACTTTTCTCAAAACGATAAACATTTTGCTTCTTCACTTACAAGAGAGAAAATATGGAACAAAATTACAGTTGAAATTCAAATGGTAATAAATGCTAACTTTTTGTATTGCTATGCTTGTAAATTGGCACAATTTTAATTATTATAGTTTCCATTTCTATTAAAATATATTACAAAGGAACTTAATTTCTTTTTTTTTTTTTTTTTTTGAGACAGAGTCTCACTTTGTTGCCCAGGCTAGAGTGAGTGCCATGGCGTCAGCCTAGCTCACAGCAACCTCAAACTCCTGGGCTCAAGCAATCCTGCTGCCTCAGCCTCCCAAGTAGCTGGGACTACAGGCATGCGCCACCAAGCCCGGCTAATTTTTTCTATATGAGTTGGCCAATTAATTTCTTTCTATTTATAGTAGAGACGGGGGTCTCGCTCTTGCTCAGGCTGGTTTCGAACTCCTGACCTCGAGCAATCCGCCTGCCTCAGCCTCCCAGAGTGCTAGGATTACAGGCGTGAGCCACCGCGCCCGGCTTAAAGTAATTTCTTAATAGTATTTTACCTTTAACAAATCTGGATCATGACAATCACAATGATTTGAATATTTTGCATTCCTAATCAAAATGCCAAAAATGTAAGTATCTATCCTAAGATGAGAAAATTTGCAATGTCATAAGAAAATATTACTGATTCATTTGTTCATCCATTTAGAAATGTCTCATGCATTAGTTAGTAATAATAAATTAAAAAATAAATAACATTTTACAATTCACTAAATGTTAATGTGTTTCTGTCAATAGAGCTATATTTCAAAATGTTTTTTAAATATATTGATCATGTCAAATTCATCACTATAAATCTATAATTTTAAACAATTCTTTGCCTAAGAATTGTGTAGATATTTGGAAAATTCAAAGAGAGAGTGAAAGGCCACTAATGATACCAGAAATCAAAAGAAGGTTTAAGGAACAAGTTTTGTTAGATCACATAGGAAATTCTATGCGTTAAATTGCTTAGGAAATTCTATGTAATCTAACAAAATGTTTCAAACCAATAGCCATGGTATAGGGGTGGGGAAAAGGATACAGGACTGTAATATGCCTTCATCCAGATAGAAGCATCAGATATTCTGGGATTGCAGAGCACCAGATGTTAGCTCTGAAGAATCCATTACCCAAAACAATTACAGCACTTTCCAGATGTTTCTACACTTCACAGATGTTTGTACCACACTAACACAAATGAGTGCAATTTGTGAGGAAATGATTTTAGAAAAACACTAATTGCTTTAGTTTTCCTCATTAATGAAGCTAATCATTTCTCTCTTTGTTTGATTTATTTATTTATTTATTTTGGAAGCTTGATCTAACTTAAAACATAAAGAAGAATATTTTAGGGGAATATTTATTCTCCACATCCCCATTACCTGCGTAAAGAACATACAAAAAGTTGATAATAGGTTTACGTCTCTGTTTTGCCTTTGTTTCTTTTGTTTTTATTAACGTTGATGCATATATATTTTTTTATCTCTCAAAATCTTCAAATCTTAGCACATAATTTTTTTGTTAACTATTATTATATTCTCTCATACAATGTCTAATATTCAGTCACTAGAATTAATTTTAGGAAAATTCTTCATCCCAAACATGGTATCCTAAAATATCCCCAAGTTCTTTTTTTTTATTTTTTATTTCAAGAAAATATTAGAGTACAAACATTTTGGTTGCTTTTTACATTTTTGCCTCTCCCTAGCAAAGGTTAGAGATATGCCCTGGCCCTCCACAATGCTCACTACGTCCCTCAGTTGTGAGTCTACCCCCCCAACCCCAAATCCCTGATGAACACCACCACTATTTGAGCACCATAGTGTTAATCAGTCAATACCAATTTGATGGCAAGTACCTGTGGCCCATTCTTGTGTCAGTCACCTCACTTCGGATAATGGGCTCAAGTTCAATCCAGGATAATATAAGTGGTGCTAGTTCAGTGTCATTTCTTAAAATTGAGTAATATTTACAGACATTTGGAGTATTTTGTTTCTCTCCTTTTTCAGATATTAAGCCCTGTTTTAGTACACTATGATTTCTCAATATAATGCAATGTTTAAGGCAAGTGAAAGTTTTCCTGATGTTGTAATAACCTCTTTGGAAGATCATGCAACATAATAAGACTGCACAAAAAAAGCCCATACTCCATTTGCTGTGCTATTTCTCCTCTTATCACCATGGGGTTCCACCTTCACTACAGGGACTGAAAAACTTTATCTTCCATCAAAACCATTTCTAGTTCCCTGTTACAAACAATAAATTCCACCTGCCTTGAGGTGTCAAGTTATAGAGCCATTGTCTGCTGGTACAACATCAAAATATTACACACACACACACACACACACACGATACGCTAAGCTGTTGTGTGGCACAGACTCGGAGTAGATTACACTCTGCCAGGGGACACATACTGCTTCCTCAACGTCCCCTGGGTCTTAGAGCTAGAACTGGCTTGCCGAGAAAGGCAATACTCCTACAGGGGTGAGAATTGCAATTTCCCCCACCCCCTGTGTAAACCCGTGGATTGGAGAATTAGGCTTATAATGTGCAAAATTAAAAGAACAGTAGGAAGGAAAATACATGTTTTGAAGAGATTTTAGACTGTGAATGTAGGCTTATTTGATAACATATAAGAAGACTAAAGTTTAATATTGTTAAAAGGAACAACAAAATTCTTCTGACTCCTAACACGGTTCAGGTAGTAGCAAAGAACAAACAAGACACTTTTGTATTTGTATGTATTTTGTACGTTCTGTATTTTTAAGTAGATTTTGAAGTGATTCCATGTAAAACTGCTATTTATGACTAATAGTTTTTTGCATTTAAAAATCAGAGGAAGAAAGAGATCAGAATTGTATTTCCAATGTTACGCTGAGAGAGTGGCAAAAAGAAATAACCATTCTTACTTAAATCACAATTTTCCAAGCTGTGGGTATCAGTATTTTTCTTTGGAAGAAAGACAATGATAACAAACACCCAAATGCATTTTAGAACCAAAGAACTATGCTTCACTCTGTGTGTGTGTGTCTGTGTGTGTGTTTGTGTGTGTGTTTGTGTGTGTGAACATTTTAAAGTGCCAAGAATGAAAAAAAGTACTGACCTTTTCTTATTGAGTTTCACTGAATAGAATAATTATCCATCAATTTTATTATTAGGATGTAAAACTAGACACATTATTTCTTCTAATATTGGGCCTTTTTATCAGAAATTCCATCTATTCCTCTCTGAAAGTAGAATCCCCTCTAAAATTGCATTTTTGTCTTTCTTCATATTATGTGTTACGTGTATTTGCTTATGTTAGAGTGTGAATTTATATATAAGCATACATATATATTATATTGTATATATAGTTACATTGCGTAGTGTAGTTACAATATTTTTAATTCAAAA